TGACAGGTCTCTACCAGAGACGTATACGGCGTCTCTACGTCACTCCTTAACCTTCATGTTTTAAAGTTTTCTTCAGTATCAAAGTAATCCGGTGATGGTTGTCTGTACATCAGCGGGTAAACTGCTAACTGAATCTGAATACTTTTAATGGACACAATTTAAATAAATATAAATAAACACGGGCTAAAAAGAGAATAGTTTCCTCCCTTTACATTATTGACATTACAACAGAGCTTTTACAGCGTCTTGGTCTCCCGATGGCTTTAAATCTTATTCATCATATTGGACATAAATAGCATCATATTTATAGTTTGATATTTAAGGAACTTTAAACTCTCTCTCTCTCTCTTATGTCAGGTGGAGGACTCTCTACCGTCTCTCTCTCTCCAGATCAACGTTCCCGTCCTCTTTCTCTCCCTCAGTGTGTTGTTCATCTTGGGGGCGGTTTTCCTCTTCCTGGCCTTCAAACGTACGTTTTCTCTTCCTTCCTTCAGTGGAAGTCTCCACACCACGAGATTTATACAAAATAACAAAGAATATTTGTTATTTATGTGCTTTTGCTTCAAACTAAATATGAAACACATTCAGATCTCGTTTCCTTCTCCAGGTGGAATATACAGACGAGCCTTAAAAACCGGATGGTGAGTTAAACACGGGCCATTAAATACCGCCATCTTACATGTTGGCGAGGTAATGACAAGCGATGCATTGTGGGAAAGTTTAGGAGCATCGCAGCAAAAAGTCGACCAAGACAGTGAGACTAACGGAAAGGAGACGGTGAAAGATTTAAGAAGTTAAAGAAGCAAAAAGTATTCAGATATTTTACTGAAAAAGGTGCAATGTGTGAGATTTTTGCTTTTAACAAATTAAAAGAATGAACGACCATTATTTCCAGAATGTGAAGAGAAGCCACTCTGCACGTGTGCGGGAAGACCCGACCCTGTACTCTGCCTCTGATTGGCTACAGGCCGCTACACCGCTAAACTGCTAACGTTAGCCTAGCTATGATGCTAACCAGCACTTCAGCGTGACTCAACGACGGCAACTCGAGTTTTTGTTCTCGTAGTCCGAAGGACGGCGTCTCGGTCCGAACGGTATTTTTTTAAATTATATTTTTTATTTATCAATTTCGTATCTTAGCATTTAATTCACTTCTGATCATATTTGAGGCAACAAATCTACCGAGTAGATTTAAAATATTGGCAGTTTTACAAAAAATACATATTTCTGAAATTATAATTATCG